GCACCTCCCAATAGTGGATCGATGTACTACAATTATAAAGGCACTCACAGTTTGGTATTAATGGCTATCGCTGATGCAAATTATCGGATCTCATTACTGGACATTGGTGCACCAGGACGGCGTAGTGACGGTGGAGTATTTTATGCTAGCGAGATCGGTCAGCGATTACAAAATGGTACGCTAACAATTCCTCCACCAAGACCTGTGGAACTTGGTGGTCAGGATTTACCATTTGTTTTAGTCGGTGATGAAGCGTTTCCGTTAACGCGATACATGATGATGCCATATTCTAGAAGTGGCAAGCTCAATAGACGCAAAAATATATTTAACTATCGTTTAAGTCGAGCTCGCAGAATCGTGGGAAATGTATTTGGGATACTCTGTGCAAGAATGCGAATATTTCGCAAACCGATAATTGCCAGCATATCTACTGCCATTAGAATAATCAAAGCGGCAACGTGTCTACATAATTTCATAATATCAGAGGAACTGGAGCAATCACATGCGGAAAGAAGATATATGACATTAAATGCATTTGAACGAGAATTGCGTGTTACAGGCATGGAAGATGCAGGAACGTTTGATAGAAACAGACCAACGAAAAGTAGTTCTCAAATAAGAGATGATTTTGCAAAATTTTTTGAAACCACGGGTGCGGTTCCATGGCAGTGGGAGAAAATTCTACAGAATAATTTTTAAAAGATTAAGAAGTACAAAATAAATGTTTTTTATTATTCGTTTCATATAAAAAAGAAGTATGTTATATAGACTGTTATACATTTTATGAAAAAATAAAATTAACGTGACAAATAAAACATAAAGTTGATTTATCATACTTTTATATGTAAACATTTTTGTAACCGTTATTTAAAATATGTAATGTTTATTAACATTATGTATGTACCTCACAGCGTTTTCGGCTTGTACAGGTTTAATATATAATATCTCGAAGCGCTCATGAGCCGAAAAAGCTATCAGTATTGTGACATATAAACACATAACGTAAAGAAATATAAAAAATTTTAAAAAGTTTTAGCAAACTTGAGAGAATCATTAAGACTACGTTCGAAAATATTTCCCAAGTGTCTCCGAGTATTATTTTATCCTTATTCTTTATCAAATATTAAACAAGGATAAAATGATTCTCGAAAGTTTTCGAAAAGAATTTTATGATTATAGGGCTTATGACTATGGATGAGGCATATACTACGTTTACACGGCACGCTTTACGCCGAACTTATAACATCGATGTTATGAAACTGGCCAATCATAGGTATTCCTCTGAAGAATGAAATGACTGTGATTGACCACTTTCATAACATCGCGCGATGTTATAACTTCGGCGTAAATCGAACCGTGTAAACGTAGTAAATGAAAAGATGGAAATATCTAACTAAGAGATTGTTATGTGCGTTACAAACGGTAAGTAAAAGCGCCCTAAAATAATATTCAATATTGATTTTTTTATAAATTAAAACAAATAAATTAAAATAGCACTCAATATTGAAATAAACAAGGATATAAAATACTAATTATAAATTTTAATTATCACATATCGTATGAGTTAAACATTTTCTTTGGCTTCCTCTCTCTCTGCCTCTGCAAGTAGCTTCAAAATTTCTATTTGTAATAGACGACATTTTTGTTCTGATAGTTTTCGCATCCCGTCTGATAAACAAGATACAAAATAATCAATGGCATCCTTTTGTGGAACTGGAGTAGTTACAATAGTTTTAAGCTCGTTCCGTAGTTCCGACATAAAAGATTCACTATTTGCTGTAATATAATATAATAGTTTATTAATAAATTAATAAAAATGAATCAAAAATAGAACAAATAAAGGACTCTTTCTTTAAAAACATTATAAACATGGAAATGGCATTGTAAGAGTCAAATGAAAAGTAAATTAACAACAAATTAATACATATATTCTAAAATGAACTTATAAAATTTACATAAATGTAACGATTAAAAAACAGATGTTAATTACATTACTAGTTTCGACCACCAAATCTGGTCCTCTTCAGATGAAACACTTTACGTTGAAATGTACATAATTATGGAAAAACATCAATACATAAGAAAATCTTGTGCGTAGTTAAATATATAACTGAAAAAACAATAGAATGAACATATATTAATTAAGGGTACATATCCATCAATAACTTTCAAAATTTCGTTTTTATTGTCTTTGCATAATTTGATAGCCCTAGGTGTGTAGAATATTGTATTAAAAGCGTAAAGTGAAATTCGCAATAGATCAAAAGTTATGAGCCAATAAGTAGGTAGCGTCGACGCTAGTGCCGAGCGCGCTCCGAAGGTACAAATGAAGCTGTCGAGCAAAGATTGGCTCGAAAAAATGAAAAACTGGCTTCCATTCGCCATTTTGAGGAAGTCGAGGGGATCGTCTATGGACCGGGAATAGCTGATTAGCTGTGAGTA